CCCCCCGTGTCCCCGCGGCCCCTCGGAGCCCCCGGTGGGATGAGGGAATAGCAGGGAATGGCACCGGCACGGCCCCGAGCCCACCCCGCCCTCCCATCCCAAAGGTGGGGCTGCTCCCAGCCCTTCCCGGTGGGATGAGCCCCCCTCCCCGCTGTCCCCCCTGGGATGGGGACATGTCCCCACAGCCGGGGGTCCCAAGGCTGGAGGGGGGGATGTGCTTGGAATGTCCCACTGTGTCCCCCCAGCCCAGACTGGGGCTGGAACTGGGACAGGACCACGGGGGGCGCCTCCCCCACCTTGGGAGCAGCAGGGGACAGGGTGGCAAGGGCCACACCCTGGGGACAAGGAGCTGGGAACAACCTCGTTGGGACCCTGGTCCTGGGGACAGTGAGGCAGGAGCCCCATCCTGGGGACAGCGTGTTGGGAACAACCTCACTGGGACCCTGATGCTGGGGACAAGGCTGGGGGCCGCGTCCTGGGGACCCCATCCTGTCCCCCCATGTCCTGGCACCAGCACTGGGCTGTGTGCTGGCCAGCCCAGGCAGTGAGTGCTGGGGTGCAGGGTCCCTGTGGCGTGTCAGGTCCCCGTGGGATGCCAGGTCTCTGTGGGGTGCCAGGTCCCTGTGGGTTCCCTGTCCCCATGGGTGCCAGGTCCCCATGGATGCAGTGTCCCCATGGGTGCCAGGTCCCCATGGATGCAGTGTCCCCGTGGGTTCCAGGTCCCCATGGGTGCCAGGTCCCCATAGGTGCGGGTTCCTATGGGTACAGGTCCCCATGGATGCAGTGTCCCTGTGGGTGCCAGGTCCCCGTGGGTTCCGGGTCCCCATGGGTGCCCAGGTCCCCTTGGATGCCAGGTCCCCATGGATGCGGGGTCCCCTTGGATGCCAGGTCCCCTTGGATGCCAGGTCCCCGTGGATGCAGGGTCCCCATGGGTTCCGGGTCCCCATGGGTTCCGGGTCCCCATGGATGCAGGGTCCCCATGGGTTCCAGGTCCCCATGGGTGCAGGGTCCCCATGAGTTCCAGGTCCCCATGGATGCGGGGTCCCCGTGGGTTCCGGATCCCCGTGGGTTCCGGGTCCCCGTGGGTTCCAGGTCCCCATGGGTGCCAGGTCCCCGTGGGTTCCGGGTCCCCATGGGTGCAGGGTCCCCATGGGTGCCAGGTCCCCATGGATGCAGGGTCCCCGTGGGTTCCGGGTCCCCATGGGTGCCAGGTCCCCATGGATGCAGGGTCCCCGTGGGTGACATTGGCGGCGGTGGCCGCTCCGAGCCCGTGCGGTGCCGCCGTTCCAGGCTGGATGCGCTCCTGGGAGCGGAGCTGTGCAGTGATTTAATCCAGCCTGACTGCAGCTGACCTTGGAAAGCCGCCCAGGCGCGGCTCCGGCTGCTCCGGGGGGAGCGGAGCCCAGGGGTGCCAGGGGGTCCCTGCACCCCCAGCCCCTGCACGGGCACCTTGCCCTTGGATCCCGGGAATGCTCTGCCTGCTGTCCCTGCTGCCAGGGCTGTGGGGTGACAGTGCCACGTCTGGTGTCACATGGACCCCGGCCTGCCCTCAGATGATCCCGGGCATTGTCCCTGCAGCTCTGGGTCCTTCCAGCTGAGCAGCACCCCCAGGGCCTTTCCCAGCTTTCCCTGTCTGGAGTGTTCCGTGGGGCTGGTGTGATCCAAGGCGGGACATGGAACTTCATGGAATCATGGAATGGTTCCAGCCCTGCCATGGCAGGGACACCTTCCCCTGTCCCAAGTGGCTCCAAGCCCCATCCAGCCTGGCCTTGAGCACTTCCAGGGATCCAGGGGCAGCCACACCCTGTGCCAGGGCTCCACTTGGCCTTGTGGAACCTCATCCCATTGTCCTTGTTCCATGGATCCGACCTTTCCGGACCCCTCTGTGGAGCCTTCCTGCCCCTGGGCACATCTGATGCAGCAGGACACAACACAGGGCTTTGCTGCTGAGGGGTGACCCCATCCCATCCCATCCCATCCCATCCCATCCCATCCCATGGATCCCATCCCATCCCATTATTCCATCCCATTATCCCATCCCATCCCATTATCCCATCCCATCCCATTATCCCATCCTATTATCCTGCTGTGCTGCTCCGTGCCTTTTCCCCATGGATCTCCCGCAGGAATTGTCCCTGAATTCCCATTCCTGGGCTGCTGGTGGGGAGGAGAAGCGATGGAACAGCCAGAAAAGCAGCCTTGGAATGGGATCCAGGATGGAGATCGGGATATGGGCTGGGACACTTCCGCGCCTTTGAGGTGCCCTTCTGTCCTGTCCCCAGATCCCGGGATCAGCCATTCCCATGGGAATGAGCTCCCTGCGTGTGCATGGAAGTTTGTTTGCTGTGGATTTTCTCGGAGTGACAAAAGAGTTTGGGAAGGAGCCAAAGAAGGGGAATTTCAGGTAAAATCCCAAGGATCGTCCCAAGAGGAGCTCAGCCAGAGGAAGGAGCATTTTGGGAAAAGCTCCTGGATTCCTGTGGGACGAGGGATGGCAGGAAGGACATAGAGGGGCTCATAATAACAGGATTTAACACTGGCTCTGCCTTGGAGAGGGCGGAGTTGGACCAGGTGATCCCTGTGAGTCCCTTCCAATGGAAAGTATCCCACCCTAACCCATCCCATCCCATGGATCCCATCCCAGCCCATCCCATCCCATTATCCCATCCCATCCCATTATCCCATCCCATTATCCCATCCCATCCCATCCTATGGATCCCATCCCATCCCATGGATCCCATCCCATCCCATTATCCCATCCCATCCCACCCCACCCATCTCTCCTGACTCCTCCCCGAGCCCAGGGATCCCCGTTCCCCCCGGCTGCTCCGCCGCCGCCTCTCCCCGTTCCCGGTGCCGCATCCCGAGCCAGGTGTTTCCCACGCCAGCCGCTCCTGAGCCAGACATCTCAAAGGCCCTGGAGCAGCTGAATTCCCAACCTGCCTCTCGGAGTAATCGGCGTCTCTTTTTCCCCTCCAGTGGTTCCGACGGGAGCTTTGCTGCGAGGAATCGCTGTAACCGCTCCCCTTAATTGGCTCTTTCCTGCCGGAGCCCCCTCTCCGCGCGGGAAAGCCGCGGCTCCGGCGCCCTGCCAGACGCTCCGGCCCTCTTTGCATTTTGATGTTGGTTTAATGAGTGATTTTCGGGATGAGCCGAGGCTTTGGAGGGGTTTGGGGATGCTCCTGCCTCGCCTGTCTGGCTGCCTTTGGCTCAGCGCGGCTCCGGCCATGCGGAACGGGAACAGGAACAGGAGTGGGAACGGGCCTGGGAAAGGTCCAGAGGGGCCGAGTCCAGCCCCGAGGCAGCAGCCCTGGGATGTCCCCAAAGATCCCCACATGCCCCCCGTGTCACCCCAGTGTCACCCCCTCTACCCCAGAGCCTCAGGGTGTTCCCGCTGATACCAGGAAAGCATCGAGGATGGAGCTTCCCTGGGGAGCAGAGGGGTGGGGTTGGGTGGGATTTTCATGGAATGGCGCCTGCAGATGTGGGATGTGATGCTGGAAACTGCTGGGGGGTGATCCCTGGAGGAGGGAAGGTGCCAAGGGGACCTTGCAGGGCCCAAAGGGGCTCCAGGAGAGCTGCAGAGGGACTGGGGACAAGGGATGGACAGGACACAGGGAATGGCTCCCACTGCCAGAGGGCAGCCATGGATGGGATCTTGGCCATGAGGAATTCCTGGCTGGGCTGGAATTGCCAGAGCAGCTGGAGCTGCCCCTGCATCCCTGGCAGTGCCCAAGGCCAGGCTGGACACTGGGGCTGGAGCAGCCTGGCACAGTGGGAGTGTCCCTGCCATGGCAGGGTGGCACTGCAGGGGCTCTGAGGTCCCTTCCCACCCAAACCACTCCAGGATTCCTTGATCCCTGTACGTCCCGGCTCACCCCAGCCCTGGTGCAGTGGGAGGTGATGCATCCAGCAGGATCTGTCCCCGAGGCGTTCCCAGTCCCTGTCTGGGATCCTGGAGCGGTGGCAGCAGGGTCCCAATCCCTCCCTGCTGTGTCAGAGCTGTGGGGGCATGGTGGGATCCAGGCTTGGGATGTTCCCTGCCCTGCCCCAGCCCTTCCCATCCTGCCTGGAAACACTGATTCCAGGGCACAGCCCTGGTGGAGCGGGGAATGTGGTGTCCATAAACCGGGAAGTGCCGGGGCCGCCGCACCTCGGGATCCCCGCGGAGCTCTGGGGACACCTGGCAGGTGCTGGCATCCCGACTGGGATCTTGTCCTGCCTGGAAGCTCCTGGTTTAATGTGCCTGGAAGCTCTGGTGGTGCCGGAGCTGCTGGGAAACGGCTCCGTTCCCTGGGCTTGGAGAGAGAGGGGCTGGAGACTGGCAGTGGGAATGTGGGGAGGATGGGCATGAGGAAATCCAAGCAGGGACCATCCCTGTCCCCTCAGGGTCCAGCAGGGATCCCACTGGCTCCAGAGGTGAGGAAGGGGAGGCAGAACCATGGCTCAGCCCAGGGCTGGTTGGATCATTGGAAAGATCCCAAAATCAATGCAAACTCCCAGGACTGATGGTTTTCCATTGTGTTTTGAATCCCCAGGACTGATGGTTTCCCTTCATTGGTGTTTAAATCCCAGCACAACCTATGGGGCCAGAGAGAACCTGATGCTGACACCCCCAGGTGTCCCATCTGAGGCTGCCCAGGGTGCAGATTAATTAATTCAGATATTTCAATTAAGGTGTTTCAATGAGGTGGCTCTTAATTAGCTGGAGCCCTGCTTGTGGGGTTTAGTTGTCACAATGGTTGTGATCTCGATGGGGTCCCCTGGAGACATTTGATTTGCTCTTGGAACAATTTAAATGGGAAAATCTGTGGGAAAAATTGTTGCTTTGTGAATTAACAGAGCCAGGGACACTTTGGCTCCTGAGGGGTTGGGGGATTTAGGGTTTCATGGCCCTGGTGGGGGTTACACGACAGAAGAGCTTCATTGTGGAAGGGATTTGAGGCCAGAAGAATATTTTGGATATATATAAATACATATCTCCACTGCTGTACACCACAGTAACACAGGTGTGGAAGGAAATGAAATCCCTGGGATTTCTCATTGCTCTGGGATGCTCATGTGGGATTTCATGTGGGAATCATGTGGGATTTCAAGTTGGGAAGTTGGGAGCTTTGGGCTGCTTTTTCCTGGGACACAACCCAAAATGACAACCTGGCTTTACTTCCGGATAGGGAACAGGGCCCCACCATGGATGAGCTCTGAATCCTAATTTTTGAGCTGTCAGCCTCAAAACCCTCATGGTTTAGGTTCTTGGAGCTTGGAGCTTGGAGAAGGCCCTGCTGGATGTTTGGGGTGCTGGTTCTGGGAGTGACCAGTTCCATGTCCATCCCACGATACAGATGAGGATGAGGATGAGGATGAGGATACAGATGAGGATGAGGATGAGGATACAGATGAGGATACAGATGAGGATGAAGATACAGATGAGGATGAGGAAGAGGATGGGGATGGGGATGGGGATGGGGGTGAGGGCCTGACTGGCTGATCCCGGGGCTCTGGCCATGGGGCCGGGCTGAGCCGTTCCCTGTCTGTTCCAGGTGAACGTTTCCGTGGATTACATCCGCCCTGCCAGCAGCGCCACCGACACGGTGCCGGCCTTCTCGGAGCGCACCTGCGCCACCGTCTCCATCGGCGGCATGTGAGTCACCCCGGGACCGCCCTTCCCACCTGGAATTCCCACCTGGAATTCCCTCCTTGCCAGGGCTCTGTGCGGTTGGAGCGTGGCTCGCTGCCCACGTGGCCTGGGATCAGCCCCCATTCCCGACTTCCCAGCGCTGGGATTCCTTGGGATACATTGGGATGCTGTTGTCTGGACCCCCCACGCCTGCCCCCCCACAGCTGCATCAGTTTTGGGGGTTGTCGGGATCAGGTTCCCCCAAATCTGGCTGCCTCAGGGGTGGCTTTGGAGGAGTAATCCCTGCTGTGTATCCCAGGATGTTTGTCCTTCCCAAGGGACCCCTCCCTGATTTCCCTTCTCCATGAGAAGGTTCAGGAGTGGGGAGTGATCCAGAGCAGCTTCCCCTCAGCCAGAATTTGTGATTTCCCCCCTCGGGGCACGGGGTGCCGGTGCCTCTGGCACATCCCTGTGGATAGGCCAAGCCTCCAGCACATCCCTGTGGATAGGCCAAGCCTCCGGCTGGCAGCGGCTCCGGGAGCTGCGTAGGGAGGATTTGTCATAGGCCCTTGGTTGCTTTCCCAGTTTTTTTTCCCGGTAGCAGCTATTTTGGAAAGTGCCCAAAGCGCTGCAGCGCTGCCTTTCCCTCCCTGATCCAGGGGCTGCAAGAGCTGCACTTCCCTTCCTTCCCTTCCCTGGAAAATCTGGGAGAGCTGCCTTCTGCTGCTCCCTAATCCCAGGGCTGGGAGAGCTGCCCCTGCATTCCCAGGGCGTTCCACAGTGCCTGTGCCATTCCTGGGATGTTCCACAGTGCCTGTGCCATTCCCAGGGTGTTCCACAGTGCCATTCCCAGGGCTGCATCCCGGGATGTTCCACAGTGCCTGTGCCATTCCCAGGGTGTTCCACAGTGCCATTCCTGGTGCTGCATCCCGGGATGCTGGGGGTGGAACAGAGCAGGGTCTGTGTCCCGAGGCCTTTGCCAGGCTGGGATGGAGCAGGGAATAAAGCCTGGCTTGTCTTCCTGGAGTGTCCGCCCGGCATCTGGGCTGGGCTGAGCCTGCTTGGAATTCCGGGCACGGCAGCGCCGGGGCGGGAGCCAGGGCAGGAGCTGCAGCCCCAATCCCAGCTCCAGGCACTGGGAACTGGGGCTGGAGCACAAACCCAGCTTCTCCTGCTGGATCCTGCTCATATCCCAGCCTGGATCCCTGCCCGGATCCCTGCCCATATTCCTGCCTGGATCCCTGCTCATCTCCCAGCCCCTATCACTGCCCACATCCTGCCCATTTTCCTGTCTGTATCCCTGCCTGCATCCCTGTCTGTCCCTGCTTGTGTCTCTCCCTGGATCCCAGGATCCCTCCTTCCCACTTCTGCCTTCCATCTCCTCCAAGTTTTGGGCCTGATCCCTGCCCTAGGAATGCTGGTGCATCCCATAAGATCCGAGAGCATCCCACAGCTCTCCACAGCATCCTCCACCATTCCATAACATCCCACAGCATCCCACATCATCCCCAGGAAAAAAAGCTCCTAGAAATTCCTAATCCCACATTTCAGGAGCACCCTGTGCTGTAGTTCCAGGTGCAATTCCCTGCAGGAGTTGGGGAACCCCTTCCCTGGGGCAGCAGGATGCTGCAGTTTGGGAGGATTTGGAGTTTGGGGGGTGGGATGGGTGGGCACTCCTGATCCTGATCCTGATCCTGATCCCGATCCCAATCCATGCTGGGCACCAGCTCCAGTGGGATGAAACCCCTCCAAAACTTCCTTTGGGAAAGGAAATGTAGGAGGAGCTTAAACGTTGACATTTTTGGCTTGACATTCCCAAATTGGCATTTTCCAGCCTAAGGAGATTTTTCCCATCGTATTCCCAGCCTTTAATTTGGGATCTGGGATTAACTGGGGGAGGCTCCTTCCATCCAGGCCACAGCTCCAGCTCCATTCCAGAGCTTTGCTGGGAGGTGGGAATGGGGGGTGCCTCCCAGGGAGCCAGGCTGGAGCAGGGGCTGGAATTCATGGGCTGGAATTCCTTCCCTGAGCTGTTATCCCTGCCTGCATCTCCCTCGCCCTCCTTCCTGCAGTGTTCCTAGGGCACTTCCCTGGGTGCCAGGATCAGTCCCCGTGGGAATTCTGAGCCTTAAAACCTCTGAACCCCAAAATAATTTGGGCTTTTCCCAGGATTTCCAGGCCAGTGTAGTGTTCTGGCACTGGCTGGGAGTGCTGGGAATGTCCAGAGCATCCCGGCTCTCCAGTGGCCCGGGGAGGGGACACGTGGGACATTTTCCACACCCTTTTCCAGGATTTGACTGGGATGGGGAGTGGGATGCCTGGGATGGGGAATGTCAGGGAGCACCGGGAGCTGCCCTGGCCCTTCCCTGCCTCCCTCAGCTCCTGCTCCTTCCCCAGCATTCCCGGGGTGCCCATTCCCAGTGCTCAGCATTCCCAGGGTGCCCATTCCCAGGGTGCCCATTCCCAGTGCTCAGCATTCCCAGGGTGCCCATTCCCAGGGTGCCCATTCCCGGGGTGCCCATTCCCAGGGTACCCATTCCCAGGGTGCCCATTCCCAGGGTGCCCATTCCCAGGGTGCCCATTCCCAGGGCTCAGCATTCCCAGGCTGCCGCAGCTGCTCCGGCTGCAGCGATTCCCTCGCTCACCAATCCCGAATTTTTTGATTCCTCCCCCTGCTCCGAGACCTAATTTCGGCTCCCAGTGCTGGATTTGCCCTTCCCCCACTCAGGAACGGGCACACCCGGGATTCGGGAAGGGATCAGTCCCTCCATCCTCTGGATAGATCCTCTGTTTTGGGGATAGGAGGGAATTAGCCGGGGGGGCGGTGACTGGAGGAGAATTAGGGAAGTGCTGGCGAAGGAGAATTCATGGATTTGCTTAAAGCAGTGGAATGTGGTGGATTCACCCCTGCCTGCCTTGCACAGGCACCCCTTGCTGATCCCAGAAATCCCAGCTCACTGGGAGAGGCTGCTCCCAGCCCCTTCCCGGGGAAATGGGGGTGGGGGGTCTCCCTGTCCCAGCCCCCCCGAAACTGGTGCCCAAATTCTTTCCCAGAAAAAAGTGGGATAGTGGAATCAGGGAGACTCCCGTGGGCTGGGGCCATCACCTCTGGGATTTGGGGGAGAATCCGGGGGTGGTGCCCCCCTCCCAAACCTGTGCCCACCCCCTGCTCCTGGAAAAAAGTGATGGGATTGGGAAATCCAGGAGGAGGCTCCCGTGGGCTGGGAATGCTGAGCCTGCTGGGCTTGGGGTGGGGCAGGAGGGGAGGTTTGGGGTGAGATTTTTGGGGTGCTCCTGGGAGGCTTCTGCCCGTGGCATGAGTCCAGTTTGGGTCCCCCACTGTGCCCAGAGAGCTGGGATGTGTCACCCCAGGGCCTTCCCTTGGGATGGGATGGGAATGGGGTGCGGTGGGCTGGGATGGGAATGGGGTGGGAGGGGATGGGTGTCACCCCAGGGCCTTCCCTTGGGATGGGATGGGAATGGGGTGCGGTGGGCTGGGATGGGAATGGGGTGCGGTGGGCTGGGATGGGA